AACCTGTGAGAGCAACAATTAGGATGCAAGGGCATTATGTTTGAGGCCCTATGATATATTCTAACTTTTACATAAAAACTTTGATTAAACAATATATACTTAGGTCAACTGGGATTCCAACCCAGCAAAGAAATGGGATACAGATTCTCCCTGAACTATTACGTCCAAAGTCTGATATTTATATGAGGACATATCATGCACCAGCTCAACTGTTATTCATACTCAGCAAAGAAATGGGAGGCAGTAGCTTTCTGAACAATTGAATGCAAACTTTAATTAGTTTTATGGGCATTATCCCAATAAGCAAATAGACTAATATGAGACATGGGTGTTACACGATAAAAAGTAGAAATTGTATTGAGACAAATACTCTTCTTGGCCTGTATCCACTTACTAAAGTGAAAATTATTCCTTTTTTCACTTACTGAGGGAGTACTCCCCTTTATATAAGCCAACTAGGTATGTGCCACCCCAAAGGGTATGGTTTTTGCACCTTTTTGTTCTAAAAACAGTCAGGACTTGGAGAACCGGGGAGCACACCCCTACCAAGAACCCCCAAGATCACCCCCGCTAGGGACTTCAGTCACTTTCGGGTGGTAAATAACAGAAATAAGCGGCCACGGTTTAAATACTAGGGCTACGCGTGAATCGCCGAGGCAGAGACTTACCTTCAATTTTTATTGGGTACTTTGTTTTGCTCTGCACGTAAGCTTAGTTTACTCTTTTTAGGTAACTCAATCTAAGAGAAGTGTAGGTACATTAAAGTTGTTTAAAACGTGCGAGCCCCCAAAACAAAATGATTTGAAAAATCTTAATTATGTGCCAGTAATTTTCCTTGCTTTAAATTAGATAATGCAATTATGGTTAGGGATATTATGTACTAGCTAAGGCTAGGGAACCTAACATGTGATAGGTAATCACTGATTTCAAAAACCTATCACAATAAAATTTTGACTGCCAGATAAAGAGAATTTCAACAAATCGTATCTGACTTCATCATTTTGTTATGCTTTAACTAATTTTTTTTTTGTCTTTTTCACTCATGTAGGTAACAATCTAATAACAATCTAACAGAAGTACAGTCATTAATTGTTCAGTGGTGACCCAACTAAACCAGGATATTTTCAAAACGGTAAGAGCTTGCAACTTATAACAACCCCAATCCCGATCTTTATTTAGTGATATGGCTCCCAAGGATCTTCCTTGAAGTATTAGAATACATAAAAATTCCGATATTTAGAAAAAAGCAATTTACATCTATAAGATCAACTGGGATTCCAAATCAGCGAAAATGGGACACAGGTGCTCCCTAAACTATGAGATAATACATAATATTTATATAAAGTTAATAAACTCTGCCCATTGGCGGTGGTTTTCCATAAAGGTTCCATACCAGATAACACTCTGAAAAAACAAAGAAAGTAATGCTACTCCCTGAACTGATACCTTAGTCTATGATAGATGGGACTTTCTATTTTTAACTTACTATTTTAAAAACACTAGATAACCTGGGATTTCCAACCCAGCAAGCAACGGAGACAGGAGTTCCCTGGACTGAAACTTCAGTCTATCATAGTTATTACTTCAAACAAGATAAACTGGGATTCCAACCCAGCAAGCAAGGGAGACAGCAGCTCCCTGAACTGATACTTCAGTCAATAATAGATGAAACTTACTATTAAAACTAGATAAACTGGGATTCCAACCCAGCAAGCAAGGGAGACAGGAGCTCCCTGGACTGATACTTCAGTCAATAATAGATGAAACTTACTATTAAAACTAGATAAACTGGGATTCCAACCCAGCAAGCAAGGGAGACAGGAGCTCCCTGGACTGATACTTCAGTCAATAATAGATGAAACTTACTATTAAAACTAGATAAACTGGGATTCCAACCCAGCAAGCAAGGGAGACAGGAGCTCCCTGGACTGATACTTCAGTCAATAATAGATGAAACTTACTATTAAAACTAGATAAACTGGGATTCCAACCCAGCAAGCAAGGGAGACAGGAGCTCCCTGGACTGATACTTCAGTCAATAATAGATGAAACTTACTATTAAAACTAGATAAACTGGGATTCCAACCCAGCAAGCAAGGGAGACAGGAGCTCCCTGGACTGATACTTCAGTCAATAATAGATGAAACTTACTATTAAAACTAGATAAACTGGGATTCCAACCCAGCAAGCAAGGGAGACAGGAGCTCCCTGGACTGATACTTCAGTCAATAATAGATGAAACTTACTATTAAAACTAGATAAACTGGGATTCCAACCCAGCAAGCAAGGGAGACAGGAGCTCCCTGGACTGATACTTCAGTCAATAATAGATGAAACTTACTATTAAAACTAGATAAACTGGGATTCCAACCCAGCAAGCAAGGGAGACAGGAGCTCCCTGGACTGATACTTCAGTCAATAATAGATGAAACTTACTATTAAAACTAGATAAACTGGGATTCCAACCCAGCAAGCAAGGGAGACAGGAGCTCCCTGGACTGATACTTCAGTCAATAATAGATGAAACTTACTATTAAAACTAGATAAACTGGGATTCCAACCCAGCAAGCAAGGGAGACAGGAGCTCCCTGGACTGATACTTCAGTCAATAATAGATGAAACTTACTATTAAAACTAGATAAACTGGGATTCCAACCCAGCAAGCAAGGGAGACAGGAGCTCCCTGGACTGATACTTCAGTCAATAATAGATGAAACTTACTATTAAAACTAGATAAACTGGGATTCCAACCCAGCAAGCAAGGGAGACAGGAGCTCCCTGGACTGATACTTCAGTCAATAATAGATGAAACTTACTATTAAAACTAGATAAACTGGGATTCCAACCCAGCAAGCAAGGGAGACAGGAGCTCCCTGGACTGATACTTCAGTCAATAATAGATGAAACTTACTATTAAAACTAGATAAACTGGGATTCCAACCCAGCAAGCAAGGGAGACAGGAGCTCCCTGGACTGATACTTCAGTCAATAATAGATGAAACTTACTACTAAAACTAGATAAACTGGGATTCCAACCTAGCAAGCAAGGGAGACAGGAGCTCCCTGGACTGATACTTCAGTCAATAATAGATAAAACCTACTATTAAAACTAGATAAACCTGGATTCCAACCCAGCAAGTAAGGGAGACAAGAGCTCCCGCACTGATACTTCAGTCAATAATAGATGAAACTTACTATTAAAACTAGATAAAGTTGGATTCCAACCCAGCAAGCGAGGGAGACAGGAGGTCCCTGGATAGATCCTTCAGTCAATAATAGATGAAACTTACTACTAAAACTAGATAAACTGGGATTCCAACCCAGCAAGAAAGGGAGACAGGAGCTCCCTGAACTGATACTTCAGTCAATAAAAGATGAAACTTACTACTAAAACTAGATAAACTGGGATTCCAATCCAGCAAGCAAGGGAGACAGCATCTCCCTGGACTGATACTTCAGTCAATAATAGATGAAACTTACTATTAAAACTAGATGAACTGGGATTCCAACCCAGCAAGCAAGGGAGACAGGAGCTCCCTGGACTGATACTTCAGTCAATAATAGATGAAACTTACTATTAAAAGTAGAAAAACTGGGATTCCAATCCAGAAAGCAAGGGAGACAGGAGCTCCCGGACTGATACTTCAGTCAATTAGAGATGAAACGTACTGTTAAAACTAGATAAACTGGTATTCCAACCCAGGAGGCAAGGGAGACAGGAGCTCCCGGACTGATACTACAGTCAATAATAGATGAACCTTACTATTAAAACTAGATAAACTGGGATTCCAACCCAGCAAGCAAGGGTGAAGGCAGCTCCTGGAATGATATTTCAGTTAATAATAGATGAAACTTACTATTAAAACTAGATAAACTGGGATTCCAACCCAGCAAGCAAGGGAGACAGGAGGTCCCGGACTGATACTTCAGTCAATAATAGATGAAACTTACTACTAAAACTAGATAAACTGGGATTCCAACCCAGCAAGCAAGGGAGACATGAGCTCCCGGACTGATACTTCAGTTAATAATAGATGAAACTTAGTACTAAAACTAGATAAACTGGGATTCCAACCCAGCAAGCAAGGGAGACAGGAGCTCCCGGACTGATACTTCAGTCAATAATAGATAAAACCTACTATTAAAATTAGATAAACTGGGATTCCAACCCAGAAAGCAAGAGAGACAGCAGCTCCCTGTACTGGTAGTTCAGTCAATAATAGATAAAACTTACTATTAAACTAGATAAACTGGGATTCCAATCCAGGAAGCAAGGGAGACAGGAGCTCCCTGGACTGATACTTCAGTCAATAATAGATGAAACTTACTATTAGAACTAGATAGACTGAGATTCGAACCCAGCAAGCAATGGAGACAGGAGCTCCCTGGACTGATAATAATAGATGAAACTTAGCTGATTAGATTAAACCATTAGATGATTAGATACCATAAGAAGATAATAACTGTAATGATTCAAATTGTATATTTCACTTAGTAAACATAGATTTGAACCTTGAAATTGTTTAAGTGCTTGACTCTCCACTGTTATATCTTTGCAGGTTATAACAAGGTTTTGGTGGACGCTTTATATATATCTAAGTGGAGACGTCGGAAATGAATTTATTGTATTTATAGTGTATCTTTACGATTTTGCGCAGTTGTTGTTACAGGGAAAATGCAGTTTGAGGGTTCAGTGAGAGTCGACTTGTCTTTATTGATATGATTTTTTATGTCTCGGCCCACTAAGAATATCTGCTGATGGTCAGATATATTTAGTGGGCGTTAAAATTCATTTCTAATGTACCTCCCTTATCGGTGCAAATCAAAATAGCTTGTATTAGTTCAATTTAAGTCTGTTGGTAACATCTTCTAAGCGCTTGTTTCTTTTTCTTTAGCTTTTTTATTTTCTAGATTGAATCTACCCGGTTATTATTGTTCATCACGTGGGGAGGCGTTTTCTACGCTTCAGGTATAATGGATATGTTTCTTTGCATTAATCCCCGGTTTTCTCCTTAGGCCTTCATATATATATCGAGCACCACGAGGAGCTCGAGGAGTTCGGATTGATATACTCTAGAATAAGAGCACAACATCGTAAGAGTAGTACCCGGCGTCGTTTGCTAGTGAGAGAATAGAGAACAAAGAAGTGAACGACTGAAATGAACTCATTTATCCCTATTGCAAACGGGAGCCAGAAAAATAAGTTTCTTATATGTGCTTATTGCAAAAAGTACGGTTAAAGCCGAAAATCACGGTATTGGGTTTGGCAGAAGTACCTGAATTTTTATCATTGAGATTCTTTATATATATTTTGCTAACAGATATTTACTTTTGACGTTATATTTACTGAGTTCAGGTTCCTTTTTTAAATTGCACTTTTATAGTTTACAAAGATTGGAAAATCGTCATCTGGTGAAACCTGTGCTAGCTGATGAAAAAACAACAACAATGAAAGGTGCGTTATCTCTTGAGAAGAATTGGATAGCCCCAGTTTTTACAACTGGGTTCGAGCAGGGGCAGTCCGAAGAATAGCGAGCTGTTAGACTGTAAATCACTTAACTTAGCTAACCAACACGAAAACCAAAAGCACAAAATAACCAGTACTCAAATTCTCCACTTCTACAGTCTACTGATAAACGTTGCACTTTCTTCTGTTTTAGGACGTGTTTCTCAAGTTGGACATCAGCACAAGTGCCTGCGTCTTACAATACAACTAAAGTGAAGATGTAGCGATCAAGATGAAATACTTTAAAAACTTAATCTAATATTTTTTTTCCAGTAATATAAAAGCTAAATAAAACTTTGTAGAATTCTGCTATAGTAGCAGTCAACATTTTCGAAGAAGGACTTTTCTTCTTACGGAAACGACTGCTACTGGGCAACAATAGCTTTTTTTTTTGTTCTGAAATTATTAAGGATAGGTCTATTCGAAATATTTATAATGTTGATCGTGAAATATGATGGGCTCTCGCCAACCTTTGGGGCAGTGTTGGTAACTTGCAAGTACTATTGTCGGCTTCTTCCGCTTTCGTTAATCTTCGTGTTCGTAAACGCTTAAGTGAACACTCTCGCCATTTGTCTGGGGTACTTTCGGTAACTTTCGACCATTATAGTTGACTACTTCGGCTTGCGTTAATCTTCGTGTACTAAACTTACCATTACTTCGAACACGCGCTATGGAAGGTAGGTATCTGAGATTCGGAGGTACTTTCGGTAACTTTCGACCACTATCGTTGACTACTTCGACTTGCATCAATCTTCATAGTGACTTATACCATTACTTGGAACGCGCGCTATCGCCAGCTTGTAAACACTATAATGTTAATGAACACCCACGCAATCCTTCGGGGTACTTTCGGTAAC